CAAGAACACGTGGTTAAAGTTTGAGACTTCAGTCCTGCTAAGAAATGTATTATTAATTCAGCCTCTTTTAGCTCTCAATTTCTGGTTAGTTACCCGCTATTTACTCGATAAACTTTAATAATTACAAACAACACGAGAAACTTTTTTAGTTTTTCTTTTCAAATATTAAAGAATGCATGGTTCCAATTTAAGGCTTTTATCTTGGTAAAAACGTGTTTAGAATTACTGCCAATTAGATTAATTATCCCAATTAACCACAATAATTTACAAATTTCGAAATGAATTTTTTCTTTTTATCTGATAAAGAACACATGGCATAATTTGAGACTTCCATCCTGGTAAAAAGTTCTTTAGCATTACTGTCCATTAGGCTAATTATCCCTAATTAACCCGACAATTGGAAAATATCAAAAGGACATTTTTTAGTTGTTCCCTTGATCTGATTAAAAAAACGGAAATACGTAGGAAAATTAAATTTGAGACTTCTACCTTAATGACAAACTTTTACTTAGTATTACTTTTTTGTACCCCCTTTAATTACGTCGATTACAGCAATCTGTCGCAATGAAGCTTTTCAGTTTTTCCATTTATCTTATGAGGAACTATGGGTTCAAATTTGAGACTTTCATCATAATCAAAAAGTGTTCTTAGGCATTTAGCATTACTAATAATAGTTGAGTAACAACAAAATGTCGCAATAAAACTTTTTAGTTTTTCTATTAATTTTATAAAGAACACATGGTCCAAATCTGAGATCGCATGAATTTGCATTATTGTCAATTACTCTAATTATCTCTAAATCACTCCAATAATTACAAAATATAGAAAGGAGTTTTTCCAGTTTTTCTTTTTATCTCATAGAGAATACATATTTCATATTTCTATCTAACTTTGTAGAAAGTGTATGAATTAGTGAGGAGAGAGTAAAATAGTCAGGTTTTAGTGTTTTATGTATAGAGATAAGATTTAGATTAATCCAAGTATTTACCTAAAATTGACTTAATTTTCCAATAAAAATGATACCAGCTATATGGTAACAGATTTAAAGTTTTAGTGCAGTTGGTTGTAGTTTAGATGCTCCTGTTGACAAGATGCTTAGGGCTGTTGCCCCTCCCCTTTTTGCACGCTACTGCCATGTTGCTAATAACCAGGTCATATCATTTTCATCGTTTGTTTTAAATGTGATGTGATAAATAGATTTTGCTTCACATTAAAATGTTTTGCAGAATTTTAAGTATATTTGAGACTGTAAAAATACATTGCTAATTTCATTAATTTGCCTGTCTCTTGGGTATTCATGTCTTGTTTATCATATTTTCTGGCTAGTAATATTAAGTAATGGCTCAAATACAGTGTGGAAAAGCTTCATTAAGCAATTTAATTTTTCAAGAGTAAGTGATAATTGTAGCTAAGAAGCATACTACACACCTCTGTGAACCAGAGGTTTGAAGATTCTGTTCCGGCCGAAGCTACATGAATTTTACAAATCATCCCACTTATAACGTTGGACTAACAAATGTACCATCTTCTTTTCATCTAATTCACTAGATAACAGCTCTTTCCCACATTCTAATTAATCAGTTCTCTTTCGCAAAAAAATGAGACTCTCCTGCAGCAAAGAACAGCTTTGAAATGGCGTACTTACAGTCATCCCTACACTTATAGCATCACTCATTGCGTTTATTAAATGAAGCAATATTTCATAGAACGACTCTATCTTTCTAGGATGGGGGATCACTTGAGATGTTTATTGGACCATTCGATCGGGAAGTCTGTATTTACCGCCTGCACATTTATTTCGTAAACCTTCTGAACAGAATGCTGAAATTATTGTCTCCTTAGGTTCTTCTTTCCAGTTTACCGTTGTTTTCTAATTACTAAGCTTTAAAAAAATTACAAAATGTTTACGCAAGCACATCATGTAAAGGCTATTATTTACTAAGATATAAAGATAGGTAAAATCTGCATTAATAGTTAATTAAAATATATTCCAGGATAGGGGGGCACTTTTGTTAAAAAACTTAAGGAACTGTTTATTGGACACGGTCCAGTTGATAAGTATTCACCGTCGGTAAATTTATTTCGTAAACCTTTTCAACAGCATGCTAAAGCTATTGTCTCCTTATGTTCTCCTTTTAAGTTTATCAAGTTTATTGTTGTTTTTGAGTTGCTAAACTTTAATAAAATTACAAAATGCTTACACAAACACAGCATGTAATGGCTGTGATCTTAAGATATAATTATAGGTAAAATCTGCATTAATAGTTTCTAAAAAAATTATTTCAACGATCATCTAGCTTTGCACAACTTAAACCGATTGCAGTACTATAACTTTAAGGAACTTGACTACTCTCCTCTGGTAATTCTAAGACAACGGTTGAAAGATCACAAATCCACCATTCTTAAAAATTAATTGCTAATCATTTTGTCTCAGAGTTACTTAGAGTTGCAAACTGTATTTCTTAATATTCCGTGAGTTTTAAAAGCTAATTTCACCTTTTTTTCCTTTTTCTTTTTTTAATATAATGCGCATTTACAAAGCCTAAAAAAACTTCTTTTACTTTATATTTTCCCTTCTGAGAAATAAGCCGCCTCCCGTTATTCAATGTATAAACGAGACATTCCTATACACACTTATTAAAATGCGTAACACTTGGATGGTTTAAATAAAATATGAATGTAAAGTTTGTTGTTATGTTGTTTCTTATTCAAGTTGCCAATACCACCGAGACTGTTGTTGGAATTTAGGGCAAAAGAGTGCGTTTCTTATTTTTCAGCGGCGTTATCTATGACCAAGAATACGATTTCAGCCATGCACACTTCACAGCCTGTTTTACAGAATAGATCCATTCATACCCCATTCATTCATCCGCAGATCGCAATTTTGATCTGAACCAGAGAACGATCAATCTCCAATTTTGCACCCCCAGAGGTATTGATTAATGGAAACTTGGAGGACTTTGTGACCCAGCAGATTCAATTTGCCCCCGTCATACACAGAGATTTTTCAGCCGGTGTGATTTGAACTCACGATCTCAAGAACACGACCCCAACGCCGAACCAACCAGGCTATCCCAGCCCCTATGTAAAGTTTGTTCAGATATAACATGATACTTCCCATACTTCTTGGCGTAACGATTTTGCAAGTTTTTTTGAGCTACCGAACTTTTCTGTTGTCGTCGGGCACCTTAACTTCTCATCCACGAACATATTTCGTGACTGAAAAGTTTTTTCTGGCTCCTAAACTGGGGCTAAATGATAAGAAATAAATCGAAACAGCTATAATTTTGGGTCCGTGGCTACTGCCTTTACATCAAACCTTTTGAGCTTAGAGAGGTGGTGATATTAATTTCCGCTTCATTTATTAGCTCAATCCTACCAGTTGTATAATGAATAATGATTAAAGTAAAATTTAGGTAATAATATCATTGTGAAACCACAGTAAAGTAGTATTCTCAAAGAGTGACATTTTGTTCTTGATTCTCTTTGTTATGTTAGAGATAGTGCTTGGAACAGTTATCTTCTAGTAAGAGCTTAAGTTCCTAGGTAGTTCCAGAACACGAACCTGTGTCCTTCTCTGTCTCAGTGCGGGAGCTTTTTTCTCGGTCACCTAGTCGATGAGGGTTTAGTTTCATTTTTAGCGATGCACTAAAGCTACGATTCTTTGCTATTGCCAACGGACATATTCTTATTGAGGAGCAGAAAACAATTCATGCACTACACTACCACAAATAAGATTGGTTACAAGATGCTAGTGGTAAATGACTGGTGCTTATACCACTCATCCCAAAAATTTTAGGAGGGTGAACATTAGCGATTAAAGAAACAACCAGGGACATTACATTAGAGAATTTTCGAACTACTAAGATGACATCGGAGAATGCGCAAACTGATCAGACACCTAATAAAATTTAAGCCGGGTCCAAATCAATAAAGAGTGATAGACTTTTTTCACAAAACTTAACGAGATACTTGAGTTGCAATTGGCTATACTTTAATTAAATACTATTCTTAACTTATACTAGTCTCTTTTAAGCCCTGAGTTTTTTAATTGTTCGCAGACTTGAGGGCACGAACCTGCATTTTTCTCAGTCACGGCCCAATACCTTAATGTCTTGGACTTTCATAACAAATGTCGTAGGTTCGAGCCATAAAGTCATTAAAGAGGCTCAACGCTCACAAGTGAATAATGTACACATCAGTTGACCATGGAAACTAAAACCCTGAACTTCTAGAGGAGAGCAAAGTTTCCGACCCAACGTTCACTTAGAATCAAATAGCATTCAAGCACTTAATTGGAGTAGGACCAGCTTCACGGATCATGATTCCATATTAAAATTGGTTCTATTTCATTTACGCGCTTCAGTGATACTCGTTTATTAATAGCTGGCAGTAGTTAGTAACTTCAGGACGTGAACCTACGATCTTCTCTTTGCACTCCGAGCCCTTAGTTTTTGTTACCCCGCTCCATAAAATGCCATCGTAGTATAAACTGTTAGAAGAAGCAGCTAAATTCCGCATTATATAATTCTTTATTTGCTTGGCCCGCAGAGGCCTGATCGTTAAGACACGGTTCCCACCAGATCACTGAAGTCAAGCATCACTGGCTGCGGTCAGTGTGCGAGTGGATGAGCACTTGGATCAGCCTGCGTAGGGACAGAGGGTGCGTGCTACCGTAAACTGCTTTACCGTAGCGTGCTCGACTTCGCGCAGGTCGTTGGACTACCAAAGCAGGAAAGCCATCCACTCTGCAGAGGATCAAAAGTAGAATGGCATGTGTTCGGATCATCCTCAGGAATGTTTCCCAGACCGCCGCCAATAGCCCATTGTGCAGCTCTAGTGCGACGTAAATGAACTACAACAGCAACAATCTTTATTTGCATGAATTTCACCTGTCTTACATCATTTTCTGTCCCGCAGTGGANTGATGGCATGTCTTCGGATCATCCTCAGGGATGTTTCCCAGATCGTCGCCAATAGCTCATTGTGCAGCTCTAGTGCGACGTAAATGAACTACAACAACAACAATCTTTATCTGCTTGAATTTCATCTGTCTTGCATCATTTTCCCTCTGCTATTTTCATTTCACGTCTTGCTTACCAAACTCTAAGGAACTTTATCATGCATTCATTTTATACCAATCTTTAAAAGCTAGTCGTATACGTCCTACATTCTGCTTGTAGAACTAAATCACTTTAAAAGTAGTAAAGCTGCAAAGGAGTTAATAGTTAGGTAATGAGTGTCGCGTGAAATAAATTACGAAGTTATCTGCTTGTCTGAAGTTTGGTGCTCTTGATATGGTTTGACATCTGAATGATGTTTTAGCTAGTAGCAAGGAATAATTGTTAGTTGAAGTCTGTGTGATCGGAAATAGTAAGTGGCTAGTTTTGTACCTAAATTTTTCTGAACTTGACAATTGTTACTGTTCTCATAATAGTGTTGTGATTTTTTGCAATGTTTTGTTGTCTAGATTAATACTTTGAATATTATAGTTGTAATTAAAACGTTAATCTCCAAAATTCTGTCAAATGAATCATTTTCAACTTTGTCTCCAGAAGTAAAGCATTAAATGCAGTTATATTATGAAACTTTTTTAAAATGTCTTTTAAACATTTATTTCCCACTTATTTTAATTATATCTCATACAATTTCAATTATACTACTCAAATTTTTAATATATTTTTGAAATATTTGTTTTTTATTTCAATTTAGAAATACCCATTAATCTCAAGTTTTCAACTATCGAATTCTGCTTATAATATTGAAATAAATTGTTTATTTTATCATTTAAATGTAACATTTTTAATTTCTAGTCTTAATTGATAAAGATAGCATAGATTTCATATAACATGAATACACTCATCTGTGACAATTAACTTTTTAAAAATGATACTTTTTAACCTTTAATTTTTCAGTTTTTCAGTTTGTTAGATTTATTCCAAATGATGCGCAAATTTTTGGATTAATGCTTCAAATATTTTGATATTGGCAATTTAAATAAGTTGTATTAATATTTATTACATGTTACACTGATTTTCCACATTATAAAGATTGAATTTAAAAAAAAAAATTCTTTTTGAAAATTTCTTTTGAGAATGTTTATTGGGATTATATAACTATGTTACATTGTGTAATTGATCACTAAAATAACTTAAAATATGAATAAATTTTTTGTTTTGTTAATTTGAATCAAATCGTATTATGATTCGTAAAATAAAATCTTTAAAAGAAACTTTACTATTTCGAAGTTCATGAATCTTTTATTTTAATTATTCCTTAGCACGAAATCAGACTATAATTAAAGAAACCGGAAAGTAACTATCTCTTATCACTATAAGACTCCTTCGCCCCTGAAAAGTCTCTGGTTTCAACTCCCTAACACTTCCCATTGTTACATAAGGGGATTTGACTATGATAGCTCCCGGAGAAAGTAGAGAAAGGAAGATCGCCAACAGATTTTCAGATTTCGGGAATCAGAGTTAATTGTGGTTTTGCATTCAAAAAAAAAAAAAAAAAAAAAAAAATTGTCCGCAAAATCCTATTTTCCGTAAAACAAAACATGTGTATTTTCTCAATAGGCGATCTACCAGAGTTATCGTCATCATAATTGGCCAGACAGTCCAATGTGGGCCAATGCTTTCTTTTGAAGATTTCTCCATAATGACTTACGATTTATCTCTGATCTCCAATTTTTTCCGATTATTACAAGAAAATCAGACTCCACCGAGTCAGCCCATCTCAACCGCGGCCTTCCTCTTTTTCTTGTTCCAGTGGGTACAAAAAGAAATATCTTTTTTATTGTATTGTCTCTCATTCGAATCACGTGGGACATCCAATTCATTCTATTTATTTTTATGTACTTAATAATATCGGGTTGTTTATAAATCTTGTACAGTTCAAAATTAAATCTCCAGTTATTGTTTTTATTTACACCACCAAGTATACTGCGTAAAATCTTTCTCTCAAATACTGCGATACAATTTTCCTCCAGTTTTGTCATTGTCCAAGCTTCAAAAGCATATGTCAAGACTGGCCTGACAAGAGTTTTGCAAATTAAGAACTTTGTTTTTCTAGGAAGAAACCTGGATTTAATAAATCTTCTCAGCCCATAGACAGCCATATTTGTCAGATAGTCTGTTTTTTATTTCAGGACACATTCTGTTATCAAAAGTAATTGATCCTAAGTAAATAAAAGATAGGGGAGGTATAAAGATATTTTAAGATAGGAGTCTGGGAGTCTATTTTTCGAGAATAACATATACTCAGTGGCAAAAAATGACATTTTCAGGGCAGGAAGGGAACGAGCAATTACATCATCAACAGCAAATGCAAGTAGTTTTAGTGATCAAGTAAAAGTGTTTCCACTGGTATTGATGTTTTAATCATGAATAACTCTCTCAAGTGCAATATTAAAAAGAAGACAGGAGAGAAAATCTCCCTGTCGAACACCCTTAAATGTGTCAAAATTTTTTGACAGAGACCCCAGAAACTCAATCTTACACTTTGATTTACATTGAATCCGTCTTTCAATGTAAGTCTCATCAATTTAATAAACTTCGAAGGTATTTTAAAACTATTCATTGTTTCAAAAATATGATATCTATTGACACTATCAAAAGCAGGTTTGAAATCAATATTTGTTTTAATGTTAAATTCCATAGACTTACCTAAAATCTGACAGAGACAAAATATCTGATCTTTAATTGATTTTCCCGCTTGAAATCCACATTGATATTTTCCTATTTGTGAGTCAACGAATGGTAACATCCAGAGAAATAAAATTCTAGATAGAATTGTATAAATTATACAAAACAAATTGATACCACAACTGTTGGCCCAGGTTATAGGATCTCCTTTCTTGTGAATTGGACACAAAATGCTAAGATTCCAGTCCGTTGGCATAATCTCAGAGTGCCAAATGTCAGTAATAAGTTTAAATAAATTCCTCAACAAGGTAAGTTCACAATTTTTTAGTTCTGCTGAAATAAGATCATGTACCGAATCCTTCTTATTCTTTAAGTTTTTAACAGCCCCGACCTCCTTAATAGTTGGAGCCTCAACTTCTATGCCATTGCTGTATTCAGGTGCAAATATTTTAACACCCTCTCTATTTTCATTAAGAATTTCATTAAAATATTCATGCCATCATTTTAAAATGTCCTGTTTACCACTACCAAATTTGTTTTAGCATAGACTAGAGGTCTGTTTAAAGTCCAATCGTCTGCGGTTAATTTTCCGATAGAATGCTCTGCATTAATTAATGGATTTCAGATGTTCAACATCTTCTCAAACAATTCTTCCTCAAAGACAGTTTCCCTTTGCCCAAAGAGTTTCTTCCTCTTTTCTGCGTCTATGATACTCTTCTGCACTATTTCTTGTGTGTGCTTGAATTATATGTTTATATGCAACATTCTTTTATCCTTAGCAATGGCACAATCAATATCATACCAATCCTTAACCGGTTTCTTAATTACTTTACCACTCCGGTATTGGCTGCGTTACAGATACTGTATTTTATGAATTTCCATTTATTTTCCACAGTACCCTCACAATTCATTAAATTCAACTATTCCTTTACTTTTTCGAAATATTCAAGTCTTATCCTTTCAATTATAAGTTTGTCACACTCATATTTTTCTAACTTCTCTCCCTTGAACTTCTTTGCGTTTGATAATCTTGATCTGATTCTAGCAATAACAAAGAAGTGATCTGAATCCACATTAGCTTCATGTTAAGTTCTCACGTCCACCAAGTCTGAGTAATGTCTTGCGTCAATTAGTACGTGATCAATTTGATTAGCATAAGTGCCAAATGGGGCACGACAGGTAGCTTCATGAATATTTTTATGTGGGAAGGGCTATATATTCTTTTATCGTATAGTTTTGCTCTTTTGTGCCCTGCTTGGTATACATATACCTTTGACCCGTATATACTACACTGATATATTTTTTAGACTAAGTGCCATTGTTTGGCATACCCTGACTGTAATACAAGTGAACTTCAAAATTAATAAGGCTGCAATGTCAGAAATAAAAGCCAAAGTTTATGTGCCTCACACTTGAAGAAAAGAGATTATTTTAGATTTTATATATCATCTTGCCGTGAAGAATCGTTCGGGCATAACAACGGAGAAATAACTTAAATACTTTAAGTTATTAAACTTTTTTAAAAATGGATAATTTGGTAAAAATTTTCTACTTAAATGTGAATGATCAACTTCACTACCTTATTCCCCTATTATTCAAATTTTTATGAGCCCAGATAATGCAGCATTAGACTAAGTTTTTAAATATTAAAAAATTAGACCTCTAATGGTTTTAATCTTCCCAAAACTGCTTTTTTCTCCATTTTGTGCCAATTTCAGAGTATGCTTAGCCAGTGCTAGCTTTAGATAGGCTTAACTTGTACTAACAATCATGAGTAACTGTATTAAGCTTACAGCTATTATGAAAATAGGATATTTTTCTCCAAAAAAGAGTAATTTCATATGACAGCGGAGATCTAGAAAGACAGCCTTAAACCAGAACTCTTCTGGACCTCTTACCTCTAGCCTTACTCAAGAGTTACAAGAACCAGTTATGTGAGAAAAGTTTGGTTTTCGATACCATATCAAACTAATTTTAAAATTGTTATAAGTGTGTAAAATAAGTAACTCAATTTTTTTAATGCTAATCATTCTTTCGAAATTATTTTATTGAACTTTATTTCTGATTATCTGTACAATGAATTTTGATAACCTGCCAATAAATTTTTTTAATTACCTTACAATATTTTAGGGGAAGATATGAACAATTTTAAATCGCGAGCTCGAGCGCTTAGTTCGAGTACTCCCATTCAAAATAACGTAAAGAAATTCGTATCTGATGAAGTATCCATGATACACATCGACGTTGCGTCTAGTTCTGCTGGAGAAACGGAGCCAGCTAAAATGAAGAAAGCAACTATTCTAGATATGGTCATTGAATCAATAAAAGCTGTAGGTAAGTTATGTTTAATAGGTTTATATTTATGAATTTGATTATTTTATGCATTAATTCTTCACATTAAGCAAGAAAAATAAAACCTGGATTGTGTTTAGTTTAATGATTCCTAAGTAGCACCTAATATTAGATAACATCAGAAAACCAGTAAAATCTAACGTTATCTTGCACAACTTTCTAGTGTTAGGAAAAGACAAAAGGTCACGGTTTATTTGTATTATAAAACATTAGATTCTATACAAACTAATATTATCTAGCACTCACCAAAAAATTATTTTCCATTTGTTTTGATGCTATATAATATTAGATTTTGTATTTTCTGATATTATCTTGCGTTGCATTTTATTTTTGGAGTAAGCAAGGGGAAGATTTGAATGGTAGTTTAATAATTCGGAAATATAATTTTACTTAATTTACTGTATTGTTGTGAAGCAATAAAACATGGAGCAATAGTTTTGTCATTCCACGCATTATTTACTTAGCAATACAGAAATACTGAATTAAAATTTATCACAGAATTCAGCTACCATCCATTTCCCTCCCTCTTATTCCAAAGTATATTGTGACCAGTTAATTTTTTGGAATATATATTTAAAATTTAATTAAGAAATAATACTTGAGTTGCTAAACTTTCATTGATATTTTTTCTGTTCTTTATACAATGAGTGTTTTGATAAATTTTACATCATTAATCATTTTTTAGAAATGAACCAATTTAATCAATCTGGCTAATTGTATTAATTCTAGTCATCTCAAATTTTACTCTAGCCATTTATAATTTCACAATTATCATATATTATTCTTATTCTGAAATTATATAATAAAAACCACAGTATATAATTATAAATTTAAATATACATGTGAATTGAGTGAAAATTTTAACCTTAAAAAAAAGTTTTTCCCCCTAAAATCCAGAAATAAAATAAATTTTTAAATCGTCTTTTTTTGTAATTATTGACAATAAAGAACATAATTTTAAAAAATATTCAAAATACTTACTTCAACAAACATTCTTTTCCACTTTTTTCACTGAAACTAAATGGAGAAATACTTGCATAACTTTATTGTTTTAGTATCTGAAATTTTACTTAAACACCTGAAACGAAACCCAAACACAGCGTAGAAATTTTTCAGGAAGTGAAACCAGGAGGGAATGTAATATGAAAATTGCCAAAAATATTTTATGATGCAAAAATAAATTTACTCGGGCACATCAGAAAAATTCCACAATTTCATAATAAATTAAAGGTGCTACGCACTAAACAAACAATCTTAGCCAAAAAATTTACATAACATTTTAATTCAAAACCAAAAAAGTAACAAATATTATAGTTCATCTAAATTAAATTTGCACAAACATTTGTATTCGAAACTGAGACGAAAAATATTAAAATTTTCATATAATCTCTTAAGTGCTGCCTTTAGTATGAATGGCTACAATTACGCTTTTAAGAACGTTGACATAACAAAATAGATTCTTGTTTAAAACAATTCGATTGCCTGTATTTTCCTGATAATAGATAACGCGTTATGAATATAAAAAGGTTTCAGAAAAAGTAGGTGTAATATGTAAACATTTTAAACAGAGCTTTATATAAAAAGAAAATTAAAAAAATTGAGCAGAGGTTGGAGTCAAGTTTCTGGTATTGATGAATTAGCCATAAAAAACTTTATTATGCATTCAAAACCGAATAATTCGAAATGAAAGTAATAAATACAATGCTAGTAGTATAAATACTCATTAGCTAGAGTCAATGTGTTTAACGACAATGTTAATATAAAATTGCTTTCATTATCTTGAAAATTTAACCAAAGAATTAAGTAACCAAACTTTAAATATATCTGTTTTCATAATACTTAAGTATTACTATGAAAAATTTTCAGCCATTATATCTTATTAAGTCTTATTAATGAACATATCATATCTGCCAACCCCTATTTTCTAAAATTCCAAAGATTTATTACGAAGTTTCAGAATAAATACCACACTACAGTAGTTAAGAATCAAAGAAAAAAAATCATGACAAACATTATTTCACAACATAATTGTTTTATACTAAAACAAAACGCAATGTAAAAATAAGCTTATTTCAGATATAAAAGCAATATATACTTACCGTTACTGTTTAATAAAAACAATAAAAAAAATCTTTTGGTTAAATAAAACTTAAAAATACATTTCAACACATTAAATAATTTTAATTTTTTATTATAAAATGCAACAGTTGGACTATGTGCTTTTATTATATTTTTAAGTAAAAATTTTTTCGGAAACTTTGCAAACTTTTCATGCAGTTTTATTACTTCAATTGGAAGTTATTGTATACTTGCAACTATATTTCCGAGCTATAAGCCGGGGAATCTTCAAATGGTTTTTTGAAAGATTGTATAAAATGATCATCAGCAGTTGCTAATATGTATATGACGCAAACACACACACAGTAGGGATGAATCACACGGGTATGCGCCTTTCTTCAAACTTCTACACAACCAATAAGAGGACTTTCAGCTCCGACAGATTTAAAGTCCACCTTGCAGCATATACACACCAGTTTTATTTTCTGGTAGGATCGAACTTACGACCCCCAGTTTTCCACCAGAGTGTGTCATTTTCCATTTGCAGTGCCTCGCAGCCCATCTCAAAATTGAATTGTTCCTTCCTGGTAGATTAGCTAGTTAATCCAACAGACGAAGCTAAAATCAGAAGAGAAAAAATTTTAAACTTTACAATGAAAACACTAAATTTAAACTATTAAGCATTGAATATTTATTAAACTTAAATTATTTAATTTGAAAATGTTTTTAAGAAATGCCTTTAAGTAAGATTTTGGGTACATTTTTTATATTATATAGAAAGTTTTGTAAAAGCGTCTTGATATTTTTTCAAGTCTTGAATCATATTTTTCAGGTGAACCGAGAAAGGGAGCTTCATATCAGGCGATAAAAAAATGGATAAGTGGTTAGTATCATTTTTTAAAGGATTTAAATTGATAAGTTTAATTTTAGAACAGAAGAAAATATTCAGTAGTTCCAAGTTGCAGTTTCTTTTTATTTATACTCAAAAAAAAAATGTTTATTTTAATTGAAATTATTCGCATACTTTTCTCTGTAAACTAAAACAAAAAAAATTTAATTTCCTCACAGTTCGAAAAATTAAGACTCCTTATTTTAACTATATTTATGTCTTTCTCCTACTTAATTTAACGTTTAAATTTTAAGATATTTTAAATTTCTTATTTCAGACAATAAAGAAATTGATTCGATACGTCTGAAGGTTTTATTGAAGATGGCTCTGAAAAAAGGTATTGATCAAGGAATTTTAGGGAGGCCGTTTCGCTCAGCAACAGTTGCTGGTGCATTAGGATATTTTAAGCTAGTACAGACGAAGCCTGTTAAACCTTCAAAAACGGCTGTGAAAAAAACAGCAAACAAGATATCTGCAAAAAAAGCTAAATCTCCAATTCAAGGTACAAAAGTTTCAAAAATGCTTCATGAATTGCCTGCAATTAAGATAAAGCCCGTAAAAGCCCCTTCTAAAGCAAAAGCTGCCACTGGGAAAAAAATTGCAAAGGAATCTCAAAAAAAGATTGAGAAAAAAACAGCAACTAAAGCTACAGCTACGAAGAAGCCTGCTGTGAAAAAGCCTGCTGTGAAAAAGCCTGCTGCGAAAAAGCCTGCTGGGAGGAAGCCCGCTGCGAAGAAGACAGCAGAAGCCGCTACAAAGGTTTCTTCAGAGATTGAAGCAGAGAAACCCTCTGAAAAAGCACTTTTAAAAGCTAAAGTTCAGAATAAACCTGAGAAAAAAGCTACAGCTACGACGAATCCCACTACAGAGGTGCTTTCAAAACCTGCAGCTGAAAAGCCTGTAAAAAAAGTACCCGTGAAAGCTGATGTTAAGGAGGAAACACTCGCAAAGAAAGCAACAGCTACAAATAAACCCACTACAGAGATGCCTTTAAAAGCTGAAGCCGAGAAGAAAAAAGTGCCTTCAAATACCAAAGAAGGGAAAAACACCACAACTAAGGCAGCTTCAAAAGTGAAAGCTTCAAAGCTTCTTGATGAAAGTATTCAGGAGAATAATTTAAATGATACTAAACTAGAAAGACAGGAGCTATCTGATACAGAGATAGATAATAGGAAGACTCATAAGCGAATGTTCTTCTCGTCTGATACTGAGCTTGAAATTTCAAAGAGAGAAGAAAAAACTAAAAAAAAACTTAAAAAGAAGTTGCCCATTAAAGCTAAGAAAGTTGCTACAAAAATTTAAAACATTCACGAATTTTTAAGATTATTAATTATTTTAAATATTTTGAGATTGAAAACTGAAATTTAATGCTGAGAAATTTGTTTGATCTGAGTTTTGTAAGCATTAAGAATTTTAAATTTTATTAGATATTTTATTTACATGCTGTATTTTAAGAACTGTATTTGTCAATTTCAAGATTTATTTAATAAAACTTTTGCTATTAATAATGGTTACTAAATTTTCCTGTTTCTCTACAAATTATTAATCGAAAGTTTAAAAATCATAGTTGAGGATGAATACAATCCAATACAAAAGTATAGTGTGTGTTATAAACTAATCATTGTATCAATTTACCATTTTTATACAAAACTAAATATACGAAGGATTTGATGTTTGGTTTAACGAAAAATTCTCTTCAGCGATAAAATGACTACAAACTTGGCTTTCAGTGATACGGTAGCAATCGTAACTTGTTTTGTCAATAAATTTGGAGCACTTTGGCTACTTGGAAAGTGATCAAATAACTTTTTGAGATACGTCCTATTTGTCAATAAAATGGCATTGAATTCTGTTTATAGTGGTCAGGAAATGATTGCAATTTATATTTTCAAAAAGCACAGAGCTCCAATAGAGGTTTTAGTATTCTAACCTGTCCCCCTCCCCGGAAAGTGGTAAAAATTTCGATGGTAAGTTACCATTGTTACAAACATGATTGATTGATTGATTTTATTGAAATTACATACATTTGCTGACTTGTGTGCTCAATATATAGGCTTATAAGTCATTGTCAAGTAGAAAATACAGATAGAACAATTCAGAGAAAGACATCACAAAGAATACATCCAGGGTTACGGCGGGATTCGAACCCGCTACCTCCACGCTTAACAGAGCGTTTGGACCGGCGATACCGCTCGGCCAGGGAGGCCCCGTTACAAACATGAGAGTTAATTCAATTAATAAATGCAGTAAGCAATAAGAAAACTTACAGAAATTCATGGAGAACTGTCACAGGTTTTCCAACATTCTCAAAGATAAGAATTTTTTTTTGTTATTTACATTGATTATTATTTTTATACTGTATTGAGTTTTTAAATGTTTTTGTATTCTCAATAAAAATTCTTCAAAATTCCATGTTTTTTAATGGGAATACTAACTTGAGATCCACAATAAAAATATTTTTCTCTAACTTTTAGAAAAACTTTAAAAAGCATTACTCAATGGACTCCCAGAAAGTTTGAATAAAAACAAATATTTTTATAAAATTAGAATGAAAAAAATAACTTATGGGTCAGGTAATTTTTTTAACAAAATAATTGTCAACAATAAAACAGAATCTGCAAAATTTTCTAAGTATGGCTCTAGGATCACAAAATATAAGGTTAGAGTTAAAAATCTTTCATAAAGTCAATTGAAAAATTTTGATTTCCACTAAAGAGATTCTCTGCAAAAAATGACTATAAACTTAGCTTTCAGCGATTCTGGAGCAATCATAACTTGTTTTGTCAATAAAATACAAGTTTAATTTGGAGCACTTCGGCTACTTAATAAGTGATAAAATGGCTCTTTGAGATATTTCTTATTTGCCAATAAAATTGTATTGAATTCTGCTTATAGTGGTCGGGAAATGATTGAAATTTATATTGTCAACAAGCACATAGCTCCTGTAAAAATTTTAGTACTCTAACTGGTCTCCCCTCCCCCTCGGAAAGTAGTAGAAGTTTTAATCGCATGTTACCAATATGAAAAGGAGTTAATTCAATAAATAATAATGATAAATGCAGTAGGTAGTATGAAAACTTATGGAGAAATTTATGGAGAACTGGCACGGGTTTGCCAACATTCTCAGAGATAACAATTTTTTTTGTTATTTACATTGATTATTAATTTTGTTTTTATACTGTGTTGAGCTTTTATATGTTTTTGTATTCCCATAAAAATTTTTAAAATTCTGTTTTTTTTATGAGACTTGAGATCCACAATAAAAATATGTTTCCCTTTTAACAAAACTTATGAAGAGATTTAACATTGATTTCAAATAATAAAAGAATTTGGTATTCATTTTTTCGTGTAGGTGAGTTTAGCCAATATGCAATCCCGCGGGAAAGATTGCATACTAAAGAACTCTACATTATCTACATTTCAAAAATTTAACTATCATTATCTTGCTACAGAAAATATCCCAGTATTTTTCAAAACACATAATCATCTTAAAATAACATTGTATGCAGTAGATTTGTAATAAAATATAACATTGCCCTATTTCAAAAAACAGGTTGGTACTTTTTTTACGACACACTGAAGCTGCACAATGGCCTGTTGGCGACGGTCTGCGAAACATCCCTGAGGATGATCCGAAGATATGCCATTGCAATTTGGATCCTCTGCCGAGGGGATAACTCCTCTGCTTTGATAGCCCGGTGATCTGCGCTTGAAGTCGAGCACTTTCCGGTAGAACAGTTTAACGAGGACCAATACTGCGCACCCTCAGTCTTTACGCAGGCTAATTAAAGTGGTTACGCACCCGCTCCTTGACCACAGCCAGTGATGCTTGACTTCGGTGTTCTACTGGGAGCCGTGTCTTTACGATCAGTCCACTGTGGGACTGGTTTTCTAGAGAAGAGCAAAGTTTCACACCCAACGTTCACCCAGAATCGAATACCATTCAAGCACTTAATTGAAGTAGGATTAACTTCGCGAATCATGGTTCCTTATTAAAATTGGTTCTACTTCATTTAAGTGCTTGAGTGATATTCGTTTGTAACTAGTTTGTAGTAGTTAGTGACTTCAGGATCCGTATCTACGATCTTTACTTTGCACTCCGATCCATTAGCTTTTTGTTAACCCTCTCCATAAAATGCTATAGTAGTATAGACTGTTAGAAGCAGCTGAATTCCGCACTATATAATTCCCTATTTGCTTGAATTTCAACTGGCTTACATCTCTTACCATATATTATTTTTAATTTCATTTCCTGCTTATCAAAATCAAGTGAGCTTTACCATGCATTCATTCTATACCAATCTTCAAAAGTAGTAACCGTCCCATATCCTCCTTGTTGAACTAAATCACTTTAAGAGTGTCCCGCAGTGGACTAATCGTTAACACATGGCTCCCAGCAGATCACCGAAGTCAAGCATCACTGGCTGCGATCAGTGTGCAGGTGGGTGACCACTTGAATTAGTCTGCGTAGGGACCGAGGGTGTGCGGTATTGATCCTCGTTAAACTGTTCTACCGTAAAGTGCGCCGACTTCGCGTGCAGGTTGTCGGGCTACCGAAGCAGGGATGCCATCCCCTCTGCAGAGGATCAAAATTGTGAGAGTATGTCTTCAGATCATCCTCAGGGATGTTTCCCAGACCGTCGCCAATAGCCCATTGTGCAGCTCTAGCTTGACGTAAATAAAATAAAATACCTACCTACCTACTTCAAAAGTAGTAGTTTCTCAAAGTAATTCTCTTTGGGGCCTCTCTGGCCGAGCGATATCGCCCGGCAAACACTGTGCAAAGCTTCGAGGTAGTGGGTTCGAATACCGCTGTTACCCTGGATGTATCTTCATGCTGTCCTTCTCTGTATTGTGCTATCTATCCTTTTATTTAACAAAGGTTTGCAAGCCTAAATTGAGAACACAAGCGTGCAAATGTATGTAAATCCAAGAAACCAATCAGGAGTTTTCTTTTAATTTTTTTAATAGTTAGTTAAGGAGAGACACGTGAAATTAATTACGAAGTTCATCTGATTGTCAACAAAGCAAATTCTGGTACACATTGTATAGTTTGATATAGCTGGTGAAGTTTTAAGCTAGCTTCAAGGAATAATTGTTAGCTGAAGTTTTAGTCGTAGATAGTAAGTGATTAGTTTGTACTTAAATTATTCTGAACTTTACTTTATTATTAGGGTTTTTATAATATTGTGGAGATTTATTTTTTATAATTAGTAAATTTGTGTTCTAGATTAAACCTCTTAATATTTTAGTTGTATCTTTACTTTTCTTTTTTTTTTAACTCTAAACTTATAAATTTTCTCAAATGAACCATATTTTACTAAGCATGTAACAGTAAAGCAGTAAATGTACTGTTTCATAAGATATAAAATTTTGACATTTTACTACATATGATACTTCAATTATAGTTTTGGGCAGCAATACAATTTAATTGCCGTAATTGAAATTGTTACAGGCTTATTTGGGAAAAAAAAATTCATTGAAAAAAACGTCATTCTGTCAAAAGTTTTAAAATTTATCTGAAATGTGCGATTTTACCATTTTTTGTTCACTATAAGATATAAATTTTATTTAGAAAGTTGTATGCTGATAATGTTTTTTTTTAAAGTTGATTTCAAAAGAATTTGAGAGTTTAAGTTTATCTTACATAGTCTATTAAATAAATAGCTTTTTAGCGTTTAAGTTAGGCTTTTAAAGTTGATTATCGAATTTTAGTAAGAGAAATTTAAAAAAAAATTACTTACGAAAACTAGCTAAAAATTAACATTTCCTTAGTTTTGATTTAAAAACAATTTATCCCAGCTAAACAGAATATCTGAAGGTTCTTCACAATTTGTTTTTAATTGCAATGTTAGCCTCTGATGTAAAAAAAATTCTCAAATTGGATTTGGTTAATTTTTTCCATCAACATTCGTAAATTTTTTGTGGCTAATAGAAACTCGTTGATTTGATTGAAATTCATTTGGTTGAAATTATATTTTTCATTATTTCATATTTAATTAGACTGAACTTTAATTTATAGCTAGAATTTATCTTTCTATAACCAGATCAAAATAATTATTTTACTTCCATTGATAACTTCTTTGCTATAAAGTTTAGTTTACGGTATTAATAATATACCGTACGTGAAACAAAGCATAGAGTAGTTTCATGTAATAGTAGTTTAACTTTTAGTAGATTAAAACTTAATCATAGCTGTCAGCACGGTGAAAACTTGAATGGCTATCAACCATATCGAATAGCTAAACTGTCATGTAATTTAACTTAAATTTTTCTTGCTTATAATATTTTTCCGAAAGTTGGAACTAGTTATCTTTGCAATTCATTAACTTATTTTTTTTTTCACGAGGGAATATTTCGGTTATATCTTTAACGACACTGCTAAAATAGTTTCTGGTTTTCATGGATCAAAAGAAATGTCTTAGTGTTTTCTTATGACCAAATTTTTGCCTACCGAGCTGTGGCTATTTTATTTCCCTATTAAATGCAATTTGATTCACTCTTACAAGTTCGAGTTAAAACTCACATACTATTATTAAAATCTTATCTGAATGAGTTGCTAATTATCTTTGGAAGCAATTCTCTATTTGGTTTAAATCATTGCAGATTTGGTTTAGCTTCAAGCTTAGTTTATAGCAAATTGATTTCGTTTCATTGAAAAATATTGCTTGAGTTGAGTTTCTATTCACAATAGATTAGGATTTTATCCAACACATTTATACTCCATATTTTACTAAATTAAGTATGGTGAAATCAAAAGTTTTATAAAATTTTTACATACTATTTTATTTATTCAAAATAAAGAATGAAAGATTCAACGAAGTTAATGTTGCGCTTCATTTATTTAGTTTTTTTCCTGAAAACATTAATTTAAAATTTTACAAATGGTTTTTCCCGATGTTTGGTCAAGACAAAAATTTAAAGCCTAAAAATTCGTAGTAGTTAAATAATATCTAAAGCGAATTTGTTTGAAGTGATTAATTTAACTATGACTGTTAAATTAATGTCTAAGACGAAAGTCCCGAAGTGTTAAATTTTTATAATACTAATTATTTTTAAGTAACGACGAGTCTCTTATACAATCACTTTTTCGTAATAATTAGAGAACGTAATAATTAGATTACGTAAAAGTGATTACGTAAGTATTTAGGGGACAAAAAAAAGAGGATGTCAAAACCTGCAAAATGATTAACGGAGATATTGGAAATATTAAAACCCATTCGATTGAAGAAGAATTTAATGCATCGAAACCTATTTTGAATGTAGAAGAAAACTCATAGAATGTTAGGGGCAGCAATTGGAAATTGTTTAACCAAATTGGTTTTTATGTTTAACATCCTCTTTTCTTCAGCAATTTTCCAAATTGAGATAGCGTTTTTGTTTATTCCTCACTTTAATAATAATTTACCATCCCACAATACACCCATTTAAATTTAGAGTGTTCGTAAGTTACATATCAAGGATGGGATTACATGATCATGTAATGACTCTGAATCGAGATTTCTAGAAAACTTTCCTATTTCTGCATTTTTAACAACAATTTATGTTTCTTAATTAACACCAATTTAATAGATGGCAAATTGGCAACATAACTGCAACTTGGCACGTAAAATAAAATATTTTTAGATATTTAAAGTTTTTCTCGATTTCCAAAGATTGTATTTAAAGTTTTTAAATTTTAATATTTAAATTTTCTTTCAGCCATGGATAAATTGGCGATTGGAGCTATCTTTCTGATTTTGTTCGTAGGCTACAGCAATGCTGCTTCTCCCTTTTTCATATCTGCGATTACTTCTGCTTTGGCAACAATTCCTTATTCTGGCGGACCAATGACTACTGGATTAGTTGGTGCTAAACTGGGTATAGGAACTAAGCTTCTTTACTACCTAGGTTATTTTGGTCGAAAGGCACCGTCCACGCCAAAAAAGAAAGCAGCTGCTACCTCAAAACTTCCGTCATCCTTCGGAGAAGGATTTTCTTCACCTTCTCAGTACATGCAATCTGGTGGATTTCCTAACAGTTTTCCATCTACTTCAAATTTTCAAAACTCATTTGGTGGTGTTGATCCCTCACAACTTTTTCAAGCACTTACTGCTCAAGGAGTTGATCCTAATGTGGTGATTGAAGCATTAAACTATGCTGGAAGTATGAATCCTGCTCAAAATACATTTGCTAGTAATGGAGCATTTGGTACGAGTGGATCATTTAGTGCTGGTGGTGGAGGAGCAGGTTTTCCAGTTAACCCAGGATTTTCATCAGCAATGCCGGGAGGAGCAGGTTTTCCAGCTAATTCAGGATTCTCATCAGCAATGCCGGGAGGAGCTGGTTTTCCAGCTAATTCAGGATTCTCATCAGCAATGCCGGGAGGAGCAGGTTTTCCAGCTAATTCAGGATTTTCATCAGCAATACCTGGTAATCCTTTATAAATATCAAACTGTTTCCAATATTGCATGCATAGTTTTAGAACTTATGACTTGAGGAATATTTAGCAGCATATTAAATTTCTACAACTATTTTTTCCATAATTCTAATTAATTTCTTCAAAAATTCATATAAACTTATTTTCGATAGCACACAAATTTCGAATTTTAAATCTTAACTTTTTCCAATTAAAGCATAGAAAGACTCATTTTATTCAAGCTTTAATCGTCCTAGTGTCTAAAAGGTTAATTACTTGAACAAAGCTAAATGTATTTATTTTGTTTGCAGCATGCACAGAATGAATCTAAAATATGTTTAACCTTGCTAACAGAAATACAGCCTTTAACGTATTTGTTCTGCATAAAATCTGTGAACTGACTTTTCTGTGGAAAGTACCAACATTAACTTTAACGAAAATGCATACATTAATATGCTTAAAGTCACGGGAAAGTACTATTTACCTCTCTTCAGGGCTGAGTTTAGCAAGTTTAGTGTCATTGAATGAAAATATTGCATAAACTAGATGTATTGAATGCGGCTTATAACAAGAAATCTATTTTTATAAATTTCTAAATCACCGAGATAATTAGTATACATAAATTCCATGTTTATAACGAGTAAAAAACTTCCATTTCAACTATTGCAATAGAAATTCTTTTTTCTGTTTAAATAAGCAAAATCATCCTAGAGACCTAGCGTAAATATATTGGAAAACATTGGTATAAATGTATAGTTTAAAAAAATATATTAAGATTGCTTATTTGAAAGACATTTTTTTATATCTAGTATCAATACAGTAAAATAAAAAACAAACATTTCACCTTATTTCTTTTCAATCTTAACCATTTTAAGTAAACATTTGGGTGACTACCGACCCTAAGTAAGAACATTGATCTTGTTTCGATATTCTGAATCATATGAAACAACGGTATCCATGACACAAATTTTTACGATAAATTTATGAAAACATTTAACTTCCCATTATATAAGTAATAACTTCAAAAATTATTTGATATTTCCTTAAATTTAGGAACCATATGGTTTGGCTCCCAGATTGATGAGAATTTAAAAGCATAAGTAAGGTAATGTCAAAGTTGATTAAGTTTTAAAACAATTCATATTTGTAATATAATTGGAAATCTTAAGATTCAGTGCTGCAACCTACACAATCCAATCACATTAATGTGATCACCTGTCAAAAGCCAGAACTACCACCTCTTCCTGAGTGTACCTCAAACAGACGTGCAGGAAGATGCTATCAGCGAGCTTAACTGCACTAGGTTATGTGGTTGAGGATACATGGTGTGAACAACCTGATTGAAGCAATCCTACAGATTATATATTGAGTTTATGTCCGGAGAGTTCGGTGGCCAAGGAAGTACAGTAAACTCATCCTGATGGTCTTCGAACCACGCTCGTACACTGTGAGCTGTATGACGTGTCGCATTGTCCAGCTGATAGATGCCATCATCTTGAGGAAAAGCAATAGCATGTAAAGGTGGGCATGGACAGCGAAGACAGATGCGAACTGTTGTTGATCCGTCACTCATGCCCTTCCACAATAAGGAATGCAACCAGATTGCAGCGAAAATATTCCTTGTGTTACTAAGCTCCCTCCTCCAGCTTGGATCCCTCCGGCAATTAGTTTAAAATGTTTGCTTTTAGACGTTCTATGCCACATACGTTGATGTTATTCTGCCTTGTGAAGCATAAAACGTCGTTCATCGAAAAAAAAACCCTGTTGCCACTCAATGGACGCTCAGTCAAAATACTGGTGCGCAAATTTTAGCCATCGTCGCCGTGCAGTAAGTAGCAGTACATAGTACATCGTCGTAAGTAGCAGTACATAGGTGCATTTACCAGGCATACTGTAGGTAGCCACCTTTAGTTCATTTAAGCAGTCATTTGAAAAACGGTTGCACATCTATTTACTAAAATGAATCTTAGCAGCCGTCGTTCACCTGTCTTCAATGGCTCATGGTGCACGACATTAGCCCCGACGCTGATTTTGGATAGCGCTATTTCGCCAGGCGCGTTATGCTTTTACCACAGAGGCTCACGAACAGTTTACACAATTAGCATTTTCGGAAATGCTAACTTTGGTTCGAAAGCCAACGATCATGCCTATTTGGACGTCGGAAAAACCACTTCGCTTCTGCATTACGCCAACGATTGTAATGTTTTCTATTTATCGCTTACATCCTTTGTATACACTCCACTGCAATGTGTTTCCACCTGTCTTCTATGATTGGTTATTTAACGTTGATGTTGAAAGTAGGTGGTGGTTACAATGTGTATTTTAGAAAATAAACTGATGGCAGGCTCCAAAAAGTAACTGTTTTGAGCAGCTCCTATTCCCAGATTCTGACCGAATAGTAAACAAAGCTTTCGGTTTGATTTAGGGATAGAGATATGATTGGTCGTAGCGCTTTTGCACTAGATAATGTGACCGGATCAAATCCCTCCACAACACTGCATCGGGTAAAATATTTGTTCTGATTATGCTACGTTTAACAGCAGTTGCGACTAACTTTTATTCTAAAATAATAAAAAACATTATCGCCATAACAGAACTCGAATTAAAATCTTTATTAATAAAATGCATTTAATGCGGCATCGGATCCGTTTTATATTGTAACTGTTTTCTGAGTAGCCTTCCGATAAATTTCAGATTTGAATGACCTACAAATCGCTTAGTTACAGGTTGTACCTTTTGTATTTTATAACCCTAATTAGCTTGTAACATTGATATTAACTCAGCGGCGCGACAGCCCTTGCGGGCCAAGGCCAACTGTGCCCCTCCCAGTTTCTTGACCTTGGACTCTGGGGTGCAGGAGCAGATGTTCCGGTCAGGTGGTCAGCCGAACACGGAACCCCCAGTGTTTAGTTCCCAAGCATGCTTGGTACTCATTTATCGACCCACTGAAGGGATGAAAGGCTGAACATTGATATTACCTTGAGTATTTAATATTGTTTACTTGAGTAGCATCCGGTTGCATTAACATTGACCACTTCATTCAATAAAATATTCAGTGGTCTGCAATACGGTATGAAGTCACGTCAATTTACTGAATCAAAGTTCAGTTTAAAATTTTGTACCTTAAGTAAACGATAGTAATTTCTTTTTGAAATTTAAAAGTAAAACCGAAAACTAAAGTTAACCTAGTGGTACATTCTGAGGTAAAACAAGTTTCTAAATATCCTCTTTTGCCTCGTCAGATGTTCAAATATAGATAAAATATGGACTTGTTTGAAAAATTTACAATTGGCCTATACTTTAATTATAATAATGGCTGAAATTATTTTAGGTCTTTATCTAGTAACAATTTTTTAATGTCTAAATGTGTGAAACTTTTAACGTTAAATTCATTGAATACAACGCTTACTAAAAACAAAGTAACCAACGTTCAACCAAATCAACGTTTCCCATTTGTTTAAATTTTTTCATGTTTAGTTTTATTTAAAAGAAAATTATTTTAATTCTAAGCTTATTTTACGTTACAAGTTAAAAATTAAGGAAAGGAAATCGTTCAGGCATAAAACTCATCTTGCAAACAAAACTAGATAAAATTTTTACTCAGTCTACACGAAGAGTAAAACTGTTAAACCAGACTCGAGCATTTATAGAAAAAAAAATTGTGGAATTTAATTTGTGATCAGTCATATTTTTCTTTGTGCTCAAAATTCAATCAACTAAGCAATGGCTAAAATTATGTCATTCAAACTTAATTGCGACAACCAAATACGCCACTGTTCCTTTAGACTGTTCTAAAACTGCATCGTATGCTTCTAAACATCATAAGCTTGACAAACTTATAGCTCTTAATATTAGTCTTGGATAAAGTGCAAAGTTGGAAATTCTTTGGAATGAGAAGTGTTTGGGTAGCGTTTCAAGTCAGACTTAATAGTTTCCCAAAATATCAAGAAGAAAAATTAGTTTAACATATGAAATTTCTTACTTCCGGAAAATAGTTTGGTAAATACAACTGAAGAGTTTGAGCAATATAAGTCACACTTTCAAATTTTTCAAGAGAACATTAAAGATGAAAGTAGAATTTTCATGCAAGTAATCGTACTTTACTGTTAGAAACGTGTTGAGTACTATCAGACAGCAATACTTATTAGCAGTTAAATGTAGAAATGTCACCTTTAAAAGAACATAGTTGATTACAATTGATCCAATCCTTTTAACCATAATTTGCTCCCATAAGTGACATAATTTTAGCACATAGATTTTTAGATTTTCTACTTTTAAGTTTTACAGTATCTTTTATTTTCCTGCCTATTTTGTTTAATTTCAAAATATTGAAATTGTTATTTGATCTTAATTGGATTATTCAAGTTCGTAAAAGATTTAAATACTAGTTCCACGATCCAGATGTTTTCTAATACTTCCCTCATTTCCTTTCTTTTTTCTTATCTCATCTCCTTTCTTTTATTTAATTTCTTGAGTTTCGGATTGAAACATTTTAGCCACAGCTGAAACTTTTTAAATTGAGGATTTCTCCTAATCAGAGTTGACAAATAGTAATCTAATACTTTTCTAATAAATCAAAATTCTTATAATTATTAGTACTATCATAAATTGGAAAGTTGTGTTTATTTTAGTTGGTTGCATTTATGTTAGTTGGTGTTTACTTATTTACTTTCAGATCAAATAGTTTGTTTTTGAAAGGAGCAATTTCCTTCGAACATATATTACTAGTATTCGATGAAATTCACTCCATGTCTTTTGTCTGTTATGTGCTTAATAGTGCTTAGTTAGTTCTGTTTGTAATTTTATACGAGACAAAAAGCTAATAACTAAATAAACTTTCCTATAATATTTACAGTATCCTACAACCTTTTTCTCTGCATAATGTGTAGCAAATCATCAATTTTAAGCTCTAGAATGAATTTTCCTGAAAAATATAATTAAACTTACAGCCCATCAATTTGCTGGACCCCAAGGAGGAGCAGGAGGCTCATTAAACCAACCTATTGCACCGGAAACTCCAGCTTCAGAAAATGAACCGGATGATGCGGAGAGCTTTTTCAACTTTTTGACAGATATGGATGAAAACACTTGCATTTCAAGATTAATATGCGACATCGGGAATGAGCCATCGTTTCTAGGAGAATTTTCAGAAAACATTAGCAGTATGGTTAGGTAATACATTTCCAATGTCTTTAACATTTCAACTGCACTGCTCTCCAAAAATTTAAATAAGTGCGGTTTTCTGAGAACAATTTAATGAATGAGTATAGAAACAAGAAATTTGGAAGGAATACGCACTAAATTGTTAATTGACTAATAGAAATTTATTTCAAACACAAGCATATTTAAAATAAAAAACTTGGCAGAACTTTCTAGACGATAAGTAGCCTCAAACTTACTGGAGTCAATTTTTGTAATATTTTAGACATCTTCCCACAAAACTGGCGTACTGTTTTCTGTGAACAAATTTCTACCAAGTTTATTCATTTTAAATAATGGTTGCGCTCGAGTTTATGCAAATTCTAAGGCAACCAAAAGAACTGTTTAACTTATTTCCAACAAATTTCTTGTTCTTTCGTCTTCAAATAAGATAAAAAAAGATTGTAACTTTAAGAGCTTTATTTTCAAAATATACTAATATTGTTTTTTCAGTTCGCTCAAGGTACCACCAACCAGTCGTGCTTACAAGTATATTGAAATAATGGAAAGAGGAAAGCAAGAAGGTCAGTGTAACGTAAAGTTTCCAGAATGTGGTGATGTTTCGTATGAAGTCGTGAAAAACATAGCTCCTTCTGTTAGTTTGCCTCAAAATGTAAATCCCGCAGATATAAACTTCTAATCAGCACCCTCAAAACTGATTTTGTTTTTAATTGTGAAAAACTAAAATTGTTTATAAAACAATAAAAAGTTAATTTTCTTTTTATTGTAGATGAATTTCTCAAAGCCATCTCAACACAAGCAACAGCATACGAAATACCAAATTTTAAAATTAGTAAATTGAAAATTTAACTTAAAGCTTTACTACATAGTCCATTGCAACCTGATTACAATCTTGTATAAAGCGTAGAAATTTAAAAAATTTTATAGATTGGTGTGAAATACCTGGAATATGTATTTACTGTAAAATACTTGAGCAAATGAGAATAAATTTGGCTCCAATTTTTCAGTTTTTGTCCAAAGAATGATGGAGTAAATGCTTCACTAGATGGCATACTTTTTTTAAAAGGAAAAGTAAATCGAGAGGACTGTAATGTAAAAATGTTTTTAAACAGTTTTAACTACACCTTTTAGAACTTCTACAAATGAATTTCGGATCTGCCAGTATTTGTACAGCATGAGGAACGTTTTATCTAGTGATAGTAAAATAAAATTAGCTTTGATAATTCTAGGTAACCTGACCAGCGTCCTCGAAAAACTAAACTGATAGCAAGATTTTTAAAAGAACATTCGGACACTTCTCTTTACTTTTCCAAATAAATAAGTCTGTTAGAGAATCTTTTTGGAATATTTGTTCTCAGAATATTAGGGGTATTTTCTGGTTTGTGGACGAAAGTCTGAATCTCTATCGAAAAGCTCAAATAGGCTATCTGAGGAAGAACACCGGTTTCCTCTAACTCCCTTCTGGTCAAAAGTATGGGAATGTATTACTATGTTTTCTTTCATAATAGTTTTCACTTTTATCAAAAATATTTTTAAAATTCCCATGACTCTTACTTTAAACTATGTTATGCCACTTTTCGTAAAGTCGCAGATAGTAAGTGATCAGTTTGTACTTAAATTATTCTGAACTTTACTTAATTATCAGGGACTTTTTAATATTGTTGATTTAGTTTTTTTGTAATTACTAAATTTGTTGTTTAGATTAAACCTCTTAATATTTTAGTTTCAACTTTACCTTGCATTTACTTTTTATTTTTACTCCAAACTCCCCAAAAAATTCTCCCAAATTAAAATTTTTTTACTTTGCATGTAAAAGTAAAGCATTGAATGTACTGTTTCATAACATTTAAAATTTTAACATTTTACTATATATATTTCAATTATATTTTTGTGTTGTAATGAAACTTCAAATATTGCCGTAATCAAAACTATTAAAAGCTTGCTGGGAAAAAAAAATTCTTAAAAAAAATAAGCATCACCCTTTCAAAAGTTTTAAAGTTTATCTGAAGTTTGCGATAATACCATTTTTTGTTCACTGTAAAATATAAATTTTATTTCGAAAGATATTGGCTGATAATGTTTTTTTAAATGTTGATTTCGAAAGAATTCGAGAATTTAAGTTTATCTTACATAGTCTATTAACTAAATATCCTTTTGGCGTTTAATCTTAGCTGTTAAAGTAGACTATCGAATTTTTAGTGAGAAATTTCAAAAAAAAGTTTACTTACAAAAGCTTGCTAAAAATTAACTTTTTCTTAGTTTTTATTAAAGAACAATTTAGCCAAGCCAAACAGAATATCTGAAGGCTCTTCAAGTAGTTTTTAAATTCGATGTTGGCATTTGGTACAAAAAAAATTCTCAAATTGGATTTTGTTAGTTTTTTCCAAAGTTCCTAAAATTTGTGGCTAATGGAAGCTCGTTGTTAAGATTTAAATTCACTTTGCTAAAATGATCTTTTTAACTATTTCCTACTAAGACAGAACTTAAATATATAGCTAGAACTTATCATTCTTATAACCAGATCAAAATAAGATTTCTTTTATTTCCATTAAAAACTGCTATGCTATGAAGTTTAGTTTACGATATTAATAATATACTGTACGCGAAAGAAAACATAGAGTAGTTGCATGTAATATTAGTTGAATTATTAATAGGTTAAAACTTAATCACAGCTGTCAGCTTGGTCAAAACTCGAATGGCATTCAACCATATCGAATAGCTATTTTTAGTTTGAAGATCTTTGAGTTTGGAGTACTGATTTTTCCATCCCGTCTTCTTGATCAGTTAGACAGAATTTGATAGCATTTTTGTTTCTCTTTACTGCGAAGGTCCTTCCTCTCCCCACCGAACTCAACGGTCGAAGGGGGGGGAGAGCAGACGGAGAGGGAAAATTCTTAATATACTTTTAAACATTTTCGTTTGATTTTTAGAAATAAACTGATGATGGATATTTACTCTATTTGGCACTATCTTTCGATACATGTAAAATATAAGGCCATCACGCAATCATAATTTGAGGTATAAAGCTTTCAGTATAATAGATTCTTTATTAATATTTAATCACAAAATGAGGACAATGCAATTTTGCAATCAACAGTTATTGAAAGATGCTTAAATAGTTACTGTGGCTTATTCCTCAAGGTTTATCTACAAGCTAGACCATGTCCAGGCGGTAGTGGATCCTCAAAAAATCGGTACAATAAGAGGTGTAGTTGTAAGGTCCTCGTGCAAAAGCCCCACGCAGTGGAGAAAATATACTGGGGAGGTCTGTGTTAACGTGTACTTGGTACACGCACGATAAGATTTCTGTCCATCAATATATGTAAGGCTCCCTATATGTCTTTCATGAGCCTGCTGATGGAGCTCCGGATACTGTTTGTCTACGATAGGTACTCTGCCTGACATACGTCTGGAGCTGTGGCGGTGACTATGGTAACGAGGTATGATTATTTCAAGTAGGGATGTGGGGTCCCTCTTTAGGACTGGTTTCCGCGAAAGAAAAGGCCCTCCCTAAGATGCCCTCTTGTTTCCATACCACCAGACTGCTGCAGACTCAGTGGCGGTCAGAGTACATATCTTAGACAAACAGTAGTTTTATCACTCCCAGCTTTGAGGGCATTATCAGGAATTTAAATAGTAAACAGTTATCAGTTTTAAAATTTTTAATTGGTATTTTTATTTTTATTTAATTAACGTTAAAAGAAATTTTTAGCGTAATCCAAGTTGGTTTTCATTAATTTAAACTGCATTAAAATTAGAATTTAAAAATCTGAAAACTCGAACTTGTAGTTTTTAAATTACTCACGCAAAACCACAAATCGTATCATTTTATTGCTCTTTAAGATCATTTTATTGCTTTCATTCTTCTTTAACATCTAAGTTTTGAGGAAAAATCCCAAAAGTTCTAAAAATTAACAATCGCCATTTATCGTAATCTAATATAGCGACCCTTTATTTTCCATCTTTCTTGCAAGTTATTGTGCTATCTAGTAATACCATACCATCAAAAGTTTATCGACTGTTAAGTACAATAAATAAATAATTAAAAACCCAGAAACACAGGTTTAACCAATAATCCAAGATGGCGAGGGTAAAGGCCTCTTAAATAGGAATTAGTGAAGGATTTTTATTAAAAATTTCATTCTGACAAGGTCTCTAAAATCCTATAATAAGAGCGGTAAATAAGGAACATCCTGTAAAAGCTGCAATAAAACTGTTCTCTTTTTTCGTAATTGGAGGGAAACTTCTTTTGTTAAGAATTGTTAGGCGTAAATGAAGGCCTAATTTTTTACGAAGCTAGTCATCTTTGGATTCTGTGCAATAAAGACCCACTTTTTAATTCATTTTAATGCTTTCTTAATGCCTAGAAATACTGATTAATTATTTTAAGAGATTGTTTTTAAATGGATTTTTCTTCAACCATATTTAGGATTTGTAATACAGTATATTAATGAAATATTGATGCCAGTTTGAATTATAGATTAAAGTATCTTTCAACTTGCATTAGATTCACATTGAATATAACATTAGAAATATGTTTGGATGTTAGATTAGCACGGCTTTTAATCTACAATAACATTTAAAATACATTAATGCATTTGGATTTGGACTCTGTTTCTCTAAAATCTATCTATGGATATATCGTGTTATTTTAATTTAATTATTTTAGAATATCGTAGTTGTCCTTCAAAATCTATTTCTATGTATTAACTCGCTATACATGAAATGTATTTCACTGTCTGTAGAGATCACGGTCATTATGAGTAACTTATTGAATCATAGACATGCGTTTGACACTTATACAAGATTCCAGAGATTTCAGCTGTTAGGCACGTTATTACCAAAGCATGACTCTTGCGCCAGAAATAGACAACTGTCACTCAGTTTAGTTTAAATATTAAAGGTTAGTTTTTATTGAAATTAAATAAAAAATGATTCTAATAAAATTTTTAATTAAAAATGTAATTTATAATCAGTATTACATTAACCCATTTTAGACTAAGCATAGAAATTTCATGTGATATTATTTTAATTGAAATATGCTTGCATTATATTCATTAAGACAAAAACAGTTTCGTGCATGAAAAATATTTTATTTAAGAAATAAAATGGTTCTTATATGGATCATTGTCTGTAGATATATACATGTATGTGTGAATTTATTATTTAAAAAGCAACACGTTCTCACACCCGACATTTTAATTCTAAATTTATATTAAAGTATGCTTGAATTTACATTTTAAGTTTTTCCCTTAACCAAGCGTCAAAACCGGAGAAATCCCTAGACCTAATTTTTGAACGAGTTTCCAAGCAATAATAATTCCCTTTTTGCTTGCGACTTAAGAGTTAATTGAGATTGGTTTGCAAGAGTTTCCTAATTTTAATAAGGAAGCACTTCGATTTTGTGTCACTTTAATGATTGCTCTTTCGGCGATAATGCTTTTATAAATATTGGGTTGTTATTGCCCTTCAAGTCTGCGTTTGTCAGAAACACTTATCCGTGGCTATTATAACATATATATGAATCTCGTAAAAAAATTTAAAAATCTCGACGTCATGTCACAGATTTTTAAGAAAATTTTTTGTGGAAAAGTTCGTTATAAACCCAGCTAAACTTGTTTTTTCAGAATTTTCGGATCATAAATACGTTAGAGGGCCATTTTGAAATTTGACTCAATTTAAGAAAACTGTGCAACTACAGAACATGGCTTGCATGATAAAAATATCCATCTTTTTTATTTATGAGGCGATTTTTTATTTATT